TGCTCTTGTTAGATATCGTCTAATTTTTGTTTCCATGAATATTTCCCAGTTACATGCAAGCCTGTCTTAAAAGCATGTTTCATTTCCCGCTGCATTCTTCCTTGTTACTCCTTTAAACCCCCACTGTGATGTTTTCATTGCCTTCATTTCAAAGGCGGAGAATCTGTCTGCAAAACTGCCACAAATACTGTGACCTCACTAAATCAGAGGGAATACATAATCGCCTTGGTGCTGTTGGTGTGATCCTCCTTTAAATGCATATGCAATGATTAGACAGCTGCACCTTGCAAACGCTTGAACGGGTGACAAAGTGCGACTCCAGCCTGGTGAATGGCTCATACAATATGCATCTGAAAAACATAAGTGCATTTGCCCTAATTATGGGTGATTAATGATGAATTCATCCATTTATTTGCTCAATAAATAAATACAGCTAAATTCTGTTAATTCTGTTTCTTTTTCCTGTTTTCCTCTGTTAATCATCCCTTGCTCTCCCTGTGTTTACATCCTTCTTTCAATTCCCCCAAACACGTCTCCTTTGCTTTTCCCAGCCTTATTTCTTTCTCTTTTTCCCTGCATTCTCTTCTCCCACAAGAAAGCAGCTAACTGGTACTACAGTGGGAGCCACTTACAGAGCCATCTTTCCTTCTTTTCTTCTTCTCGCTCTTCCTCAATTCACTTCAAACATCTCCTGTTGCTTTTTCTGGCTCATTATCCTAAGCATTGCAGCCATGCACCGCTGTGATCCAAGAATGCCTTTCCTCTCAGTCAGAACGTTTTCTTTGCATTTTCAGCCTTTTACATTTCGTTCTGCTCAAAGTCATCCCTTTTTGATACACCAGTTATTTTTACTCTGACCAGTTTGTTTTAGCTTTTATCGCTGTATTTCTTGCCCACGTCTCCAACAAGAAAATTGTGTCCATGCACAAATGCAGAATATGCATATACCTTCATTTCATCGTCTTTATGCCTAGGCATGGTCCTTTTTTTTCTTCTCTGCCATTGTGGAAATGTTTGTATGTGCATGAGCCTGATTTCTGCTCCCATATTTATTGATGAGTAACTGTAGACACTCCTATATCACTTAGTGTGAAACTGAGTCACTTATTGAGATGTGGAGAAAAGGCAATGTGCTGAAGAAATTGTGTTAGAGGCTATCAACTCTGTAATTTCAAAGCAAAGTCAACTGTAAAGGTAAAAACTAACAACACTTATACTCATCTGGCCAACCTCAGATACCTCGAATAAATAAAAAAATAAACCTGATAAAATTTGGTGCATACTACAAATGTCTTCACACACTTCTGTGTGCGATGGAAATTGTTATGACAAGAAATGCAAGCTCTTAGAAGTTAGAATTTACAAAAAAACTGCCGCCCCTTATTTTTTCCACACTTCATCAGTCTTTTCTACTTATTTTTCTTTTGGGGTAGCCAATCATCTGGCTCTCTCTCACCTTATTCCTAG